TATATATATATATATATATATATATATATATATATATATATATATATATATATATATATATATATATATATATATATATATATATATATATATATATATATATATATATATATATATATATATATATATATATATATATATATATATATATATATATATATATATATATATATATATATATATATATATATATATATATATATATATATATATATATATATGTGTGAGTGTGTGTGTGTATATGTATATGTATATATATATATATATATGTATATGTATATATATATATATATATATATATGTATGTATATATATATATATATATATATGTATGTATATATATATATATATATATATATATATATATATATATATATATATATAATTCATAGTCGTTTGCTTGTTATAATAATAATATAATAATATGGTTATGTGTTGTATAATAATAATACATTTTAAAACAACAATAAAGTGTAGCAATTAGCATTACAATACAAAAATGAAAATGTAAATAAAAAATTATTTATGAAAATGTAATAATAATAAACCTAATAACAGTAAAGAAAATTTTTAATATAATATTTTTTAAAATAACTTTCAAATAAATTTACATCTATGATCATATTTTTACATTCTGTGCTATACTAATATTGCATTATTATATAAATAATGTATATATTTAAATGAATAAAAATTGGTCTCATAATAATGTAATTTAAATTATATATTTTGAAAATATAATAATACTAATAATAGTTACTCTCATAATAATACAATTATATATATATATATATATATATATATATATATATATATATATATATATATATATATATATATATATATATATATATATATATATATATATATATATATATATATATATATATATATATATATATATATATATATATATATATATATATATATATATATATATATATATATATATATATATATATATATATATATATATATATATATATATATATATATATATATATATATATATATATATATATATATATATATATATATATATATATATATAT